TCTACATTACGCGCCGGGCAGGCGGCCAGTCCACACTTGTCTGTGCCACCCGCCCGCGCTTTCTCAGGACGCTGCACGCACGGGCTAGTTAAATTCCCGAAAAGCGGGATTGAGCTTGTCCCGCGTGCGATATTTAATTTTCATTTAAAAATCGGGACGTCTGGCAACGCTGCACAGTAGTGAGACGCCATAATGTCCAACGAAACGGTTTCGCGGCAACTTGAAAATTGCTTTATTTATTTAAGTTCTTTTACTTAATTACGCAACAGAATAAAAAATCCACTTTTATGGATAAAAGAGTAATAACGTGAGATCGTTTTCTAAAACTTGTCTAATACCCTATTGCAAATTGGAAGGTACCATGATAAGAGTTTAAGTCATACCACATGTTATTCAAGCATCATATTATACTGCCCAAACGACAGCGTCCTGTTTATCTCATTTCTCACATAAACATTTCTGAAAAGCCTAGCCTTTTTAAAATTGAGGAATATAATATTAAAATAAAATAGAGTAATTTATTCTCTTCAAAATAATTGCACTCCACACAAAACAATAAACGCTTTTAAAACTCAATTTTCAAGTTAGCTACTACTTACTTAGGTATAATTGTCTGCATCGTTTTCTTATGAGCCCTTTCACATTTTTTGCAATAAATTGCAATTTTTGAGCGCCTCGTTTACGCCCTTAGAAGAGATTTTGACTATTTCACATAGAAGTAAACACTAGATTTATTCTTCCTATTGAAAGTTAATGTAGAAATTAGCGAATACTATTTTTTTTGTACTGATTCCGGTCTACCGCAGCTAGTTTACGGAAAAAACTATAATATGCACAACTTCAAACGCCTCAATCTCTCAATAATGTTCAATAAATTAAATCAAATTAATTACTACGACATCAGAAATATGTTTTTTTTTGTAACATAATGTAGTAGAATCTTGATTTTCTATCTCATTAATTATTAAAAAACATCTAACCTCCGTGAGTTTTCCCAAAAAATAAAGAAAGTTTACCTCGTATTTTGATATTGAATTAAATAGAATTACTATCAAAAAATTTCATAAAATTAACCTACAATCATTGAACTACTGAAATATGTATATATTTTTATAATTAGTTCATTAATAATTACTTTATAAGACTTGAAACATCACCCGTAAAATGAAATATATACTAGTGCAAATCTACGCGCCGTTCAGTACGGCCATAGAGTACATTATATACTAGTAAAGTACGGCGCCAGCGTCTTCCGAGGTGAAATGTGTGTCGGTTTGTACTACACGCGTCCCGAGCGATGCTACGAGTGCATTCATGGTAAAACTGGCTGGATATCCTACGATCGCAAAAGTTTGTTCGTTGACTGTATGTAAGTTATCACAACCGTATTATTTTTTATTATTAGTACCTACCTAGTTATTAATTATCGTTGCTTCAACTAATATTTAAGTTATTACCTTTTACAATGGGGCGTAAAACTCCTGCTTACCATTGTGTCAAAAATTAATGAAAGAATGATGCAGCCATAAGGAAAACTTGTGAAGCAAGGTGAATGAATATATTTGTTTCTTAGGTTTCCACGCACATCACTCATGAAATAAAACTAGTTTTTACGGGTTAATGAATATGCTTATAACATATGGCTTTTTATTTTTGTGGTTTTTATGTGTTTTGATTGTATGAAAATGGTGATTTGTCCGGAATTTTAAAGTATCATCGGTATAAAATTGTAGACCGTCAAGGTACTATTTTCCTAAATAAGTAGGTACTAAAAAGTGGCGAAACAACGATTTTACGGGCTTGGGGTGGGGGGAACTCCCCAATTCAGCCAAAACCCATCCCCAGCAAAGCAAACGCATACTTTCAGGGATATTGAAGATTCAAAATCCTAAGGGATAGGAATCGACAAAAATTTAAACTAAGTACCTTTTTATCCAATGAAGGAACTTCTAGGAAAAGAAAACGAGCTTTACCACTTCGATCGCTCGGCTTACACTGTATAGCCCAAGCACTAGAGGAAAGCCAAATAACAAAATTTTACCACACTAGCTTTTTTACAGATTCGGGAAATGTAGGATGGACACAACTGGCCGCCATATTGGGAAACATTTTTATAGCTATATCTTTTAAATTATTGACTTTACGCAAAAAATGTATTGCGCTGTTTTATTTATTACTAAATTTCCTAACTTTTATGTATTAAATATTTTTTTGTACCTCTTACCGTTTTTCAATTATTGTTGTTTCTTTAAACATTTAGTTGTAGTTTTTCCTTTATAAAACCTTTGAGGAGCTCGATGGCGCAAGTAGTTAGCGCGTTTGGCTGCGATCGTTGAAGTTAAGCAACTTTCGCAGTGGTCGGTCATTGGATGGGTGATCAAAAATTTACTATCTTGAGTTCCTCCGTGCTTCGGAAGGCACGTTATGCCGTTGGTCCCGGCTGCATCTGCAGTCGTTAGCACCCGCCAATCCGCACTGGGCCCGCGTGGTGGGTCATTGCCCAATCTCCCTATTCCATCCATAGAGAAGGCCTGTGCCCCAGCAGTGGGGACATTAATAGGCTGATGACCATGGTGGTGAAAAATGGTAAGAGTTACAATAAAATGTTTTAGACAAAGAAGTTAGAAAAGGACATTGTTCAGCTTCCATACATAGTTAGCCTAAGAACCAACAATCATGAAATATTATTTTCTAGGTTCACAATCGTAAGTGAATGACTGTATAAACAAAGATTATTGACGGACACTTCTGAGAACTTAAATTATTAGGAAAACTAAAATTTTTTTGAGGTTATGTTTAATATTCAATGAAAAATAGGTCAACCTATGAATTTAGTATGAACTCAGTATGAAGTGAATTAATATTACAACTAATTCATTTTATTCGGTGCGATTTTAAACAATAACTATTAGGAAAAACTTGGTTAGGTAGGAATCATGAATAAAATAAAAACTGTAGTTTTGCTTCTTATTTATTGACTATTTTTCACATAATTGTATCATATTGTTTATTGTATTTATTTGTATATCACATGTATATTGTGTAAATATGCAGCGTGAATGTGTAACAGGTGTTCTTGAATAATTTGGCAGTATGATCCTCTCAGGATGTTGTGGCACAGGTACACTAGCACTTGGTAATAAGGGCTCTGCTCTTTGGTAGCATCGATGGCATATTAGATAGCCGAAATAGCTAAATTAAAGGCAAAACATTCGCAAATACATTCACACAACAGGTAATCCGAAACGAGAATGCACTTTCCGGGTATACTAATAACACTCTTTGGAATGCACGAATGCCACAGATTACTACGGATGCGCAAACTGCATGCACCACAACCACAGAGTAACAAGTTTTATGCCGGCCCTTCACTTGACAACAGTTTGTCCTTGTCATGCTTAATAAGGAATGAAAAGGACAGACTGATCTCATGTTTTAAAATAGCAAATACAAAAAGCCAAGTGAAGTGCCGGCATTAGGAAGAAAGAGTGTTTTATTTGCAGCGCTGCCATAGATTATACACATAAAATGGTATTTATTGTCTCAGATTATTTTTTAACTTTTTAATTTAGCTAACTTAACTGGAAGTGTCCGTCACAATCTAAATACTGATAATTATGGCAAAAAATATACTAAGAATTATCATAAATGCCAAATTGGTGTTGGTTCTTAGGCCAATTTTAACATTGTCCTTTAGCAATAAACAAAAAAGTACTCTACAATTTTTCCGTAAAGTCAATAATTTAGGAGATATAAACTCGTACTCCACTAAAGCGGCCAGTTGTGACCACCCTACATTCCCCGATTTAAACTTAAGCTTCTTACAATCTACTATCTGTGAAAAAGTTAGAGTACGGTAAAATTTTGCATTAGGTACAATCAAGTATAACAAGTACAAGTTCGTGGGCCGCTAAAGTAAATATTAGCCCAACATAATAATATACACAGTCAGGTCATAAGAATTGTCACACAGTAAAACCTTTTCTTTTAGAATGCTGGCCACAAAAAAGTCTATTGAATTCGAATTTCGAATTGTTCATGAAATTAAAAATGTATACTTTTTAGAATTTTACTCATTTTTAAATATGGAGTGGACGCTTAAAGAAGACCGTGGTGCAGCTATTGCGTTGCATCGCTGCGGTTACGCGCCAATTAAAATTTTTGACATACTGAAAAATTTGAATATAACCAAAACATTCGTTTATCGTACCATCAAACGATACAATGAAGACTCTAGTGCAGATGACAGGTCAAGAAGTGGTCGCCCTCCATCTGTTAGGACTCCAGCAGTGATAAAAGCTGTGAAGGCGCGAATTCAAAGAAATCCCAAACGCAAGCAGAAACTATTGGCCCTTCAGATGGGGTTAAGCAGAACCACGGTGAAAAGGGTGTTAAATGAAGACTTAGGGCTTCGGGCATATCGAAGAGAAACAGGACATCGTTTCAATTCTCGTCTAATGGACCTGAGACTGGAGAGATGCCGCGCTTTGTTGAAGTACGCGGGAAAAAAATGTCGAGAAAAATATTTTTTTCGGATGAAAAAGTTTTTACCCGTAGAAGAGAGCTACACAACAAACAAAATGATTATTATTTAGAAAAAGGAGAAAATATATAAAAGTTAGCAATTTGTTATAGTGCCTACATTAAATGATTAAACATTGATTATAAAATCAATCCTATCCTTCATTATTTACCCCAGTATCCTTGAATCAGTCTTCAATCTTACATTTAATAACTTACTTTGCATAAATATTCATTGGCACAAGTCTAAATTCCAAGTTCAACCCTAGCGCATACACGCTCCTGCTCAAGGTCACTGACGCTGGAACTCTCACGTACAGAGAGTGTCACCGCTGTGTCGCTGCGTCGATGTCTCGCTCGTGCGTATTTCACAGACTCGTGGCCGTATTTTCCTAAACTGCAGCAGCGCAATTTTGTAAAAGGGCTCTTAAGTTGTATTCGATTTTCGTTCGTATTAACGTTTTAAAAGAACAACTCACCCACTGCCTTCCCGATCGCAAAACAAAACAATAACAACACAATTTTTAAATACATAACACTTTCTTATTAAGCGACAATTAGAATCAATAGGTAATTTTAAACTGTATTTGTTGTTAATCATAAAAACCGAAACCTTATCTAATCCTGTGGCAATGATAAAAAAATCAGCGCTAATGATAAATGATAATGGTTATTGTTAAATTATTGGAAAAAATGCGATGAAGATAGTAAAAAACATGTGATGTTATATTTTTCTCCACTGCCCTCTACAATCGACCTCAGAGCGCAGGGGAAGCAATGAAAGAAAACCAAGGAATTAAAATAATGTTATAATTATATTTTATTAACTATAGATTCTAACGAAGATGAATACAGTAGTTCTAAGTTATAGTTTATATAAATTACCAGGTTGACATGAAATGTTATAACTATATTTTACTAACTATAAATGTCACAACGAGGCTGAATACAGTAATTTTAATGCTAGAGTTTATATAAATCCCCAAGTTGGCAAGAAATGTTATAACTATATTTTACTAACTATAAATATCATAACTAAGCTGAATACAGTAGTTTTAAAGTGAGAGTTTATATAAATTGCCCAGTTGCCATGAATCTTAGAATTATATAAACATCAGACATTCATAACAATCTACCATGTACTTACATGACTTCTTAAACTATATCTAATATATTTTACCTATTCTGCAATGGACTGTCAATTGATAGACCACAAAAACTAGACTTTTCCAGATAATAAGCTATTTAGTGGTTTTCAGAGGTTCTACGGTTCGTTTGATCGATATTGGTGAAAAACTTAGTTAATTCTAGTTCTCAGTGAGACAACCAGTTATATAGATATATATATATATATAGAAATGGGTAGGTCGGGGTCCAACCTCGCCTTGTGGTACCTGCTCCACGATCACCCAGGGTTAGTTAGAGAAATACCTTGTTTAGGATAGGTTTAGCAGTGTATGATCTGTCCGCAGGGCTTGCAACCTTTATTGTAATAATCTCACGCGTCCCCTCTGGTCCGTGTATAGAGAGAGAATCTCTGTCCGTTATCTGTTAGTAGCTTGTTCTTCCTCCAGTACGCCTTGAGGAGAACGTATAAGCCGTTCGAGATATAAAACTATCCGTTACTCTGTTCCTCCTATCACAAGATACCTTGCGTGAGTCTTATCACCCCGAATTACCGTTCGGTTAGCGTCTCCGCGCAATTTCCGCCAATATCCTCCAGGATATAAACTTTTCGGACCTACTTCACGTCTTCGTAAAATGAAGGGTCCTCCTTATAATATACTTTGGGCAGAAAACAAAATAAAATGTGAACTTTTCCGAAAACAGATTGTGAAATTTTTAAAATGTTGTTTTGACAACGGAGCATAGAGAAAAGACCACTCCAACTCCCAAATATGTGTCTATGATTAGTTTCTCTCTCCAACGGAAGGCAAAGGCCACAGTCAAACAAACAGCCGCCGCATTCGAGACAACGAATACTCAAAACCATATAACTACGCTCGCCGTAAGCGGAGGAAAAGAGAATACCTAAATCAGCGAGGAAATTCAATTTCGAGTAAAATTCAAAATCGATTAAAAAAACAACGCCCGATTGAGAACTCAAATCGATACTTACGGGAAAAAATTATTCAAAATTCAACAACTGTCAAACTCCATCCACTCATCCACACGCACCAACAGAGATTCACTGCCTTCCTTTCCTTTTTTTTTTATAAGTCTCAAGTCGAGTTTTTGAGTCGAATGAAAAAAGCAACTATTCCCTCAATGCTACCAACCCAATCAATGAAGTTTGACAGCTACGCCGACGTAAGCGGTTCGCTATCATAGACAAAACAGCTGTCCTACGTGTGTCAGTTATATAAGTGTCAGTGTCACGCCCCGTTCAAAAACAAACACTACAAACATCAATTTAATTTTCCCATATAAACTGTTCTATCTTCCTTCCTGTCAAACATTTGACGTTCGTCGCTTTTGGTGCGGTAGACTCGGGACCGACATTTCTTCCAAATTATTTTAACCCGTACGAAGTACGCGGGGTCAACTAGTATGAGATAAAAAATACGTTTCAGTAAAAAGTAACGTTTTGATTTTTAAGGGACGAAGTAATTTCAGATTGATAGCCACATCATCTTCAAGTCTTCAATAGTTTTCGAAGCTGTCTGTCTATTTACCTGGAATATATTGTAAATAAAATATTATTTAATTTTTGCTCGTGAGTTGAAAGGCTCCATCGTGATAATTGTTTAGGTTGGTGATATATCACAGTGGTCTGGTAGTAGTATGTTATTGAGTTTGATCATAAAGCTCTTTCTTCTTAATATCATACAATTTAGTGTAAATTTTCTGATCAATTTATTTAGTTCTCGATGAAAACTAGCACATTGACTCTTTAACACAGTAACAGCTGTTGACCGTACATATTTTCAACTATAAACGACACGTTATAAATTAATTGTATCTAAACTTACAAAAGAAACAATATTTTTTTACTATCAACAAACAAAGTACTAACTTTGTTCGTTGAGTTCTTATTCATTATGCGAATAATTAAAATTATTTGAACCGCAGACTAACGTTGTAATTATCGTCCGGGTATCTACCTTTCGAGGCCGAGTAATGCGTTTGCGTTGATATGATAATTAGGTATTATGAGCGGCACTCTCATAAGAGAACAGAGGAGATCTACGATAAGAGTTCTATATTTGTAGGTAGCTTCGTTCTTTGTTAATGACGATATCCAACCTGTTCAATAACCTTTGATCGTAACAAAGACTTTGTGGAGTAGAAACGAAGCGGAGCCACATCATTATAAGTACCAACTAAGTTACGTTCATTTGGCTCACTCCTTACAGCGACTTCCAAGTAAAGTAAAACAATGAAACATTCTTATTGGGGAATAATTTGAAATCCAGACGATACAAATCTCGCTTTGAACTCGGCTGGAATTTGTGAGAGTTGCCGAACAACAGTAATGAAGGCTTAATCGCCCAAATTCCTTCAGAATCCGTCGGCTGGATCCATCAGGAAGTTATAGTATACGAATTGTAATTAAATAATGCGCAATGTTTACCAGTTTATACAAACGGAGATTTCATCAACAAAAGCTCTGCGAGATAAATTATAGAACGAGTCATTTTGAAATTTAATCATAAATTCAGTACTGTAATCATAATGATTTTCATAAAAATGCTTTTCTTTCTCACAACACCACACTTCTCACCCAGCAATGCTTAGCGGCTACTGCAGCTTACAGATTCGCGTTGTCCTTTAATTGTATGGATAGAGATCCACTACCCCGTGAAACTCTGGCTGACACTCACTTTAAACTTTTAACTTTAGAAATCTATTTATTGTGTCATGTGCTGCACTTTTAGGCCTTAACCCTATATATCGGATGCGTTATTGCGATAATGCGTCCTACTTCTATTGCGTCGTTATTATCGCAGCAGAGAGTAACTTCGTAGCCGTTCTAATAAATAATGTACAACAGATATCGCAATACCGCATCCGATATATCGCCAATAATAACGCGGCTATGGTTCTTTAACTTTACCAACCCCTCTAAAAAGACCGTTAGAGTAGTACCTAGTTGCACATTAAAATATCTGAAGATTGTTGTAGTTTGGGTCTTAGTGTTAATCTTTCCTTCTTGTTGGCTTGTCTTTGCTGCAACTAAACACTTGGCACCTACCCTATTGTGCGTGAGAGTGACGGAAAACACCATACAAAGTAAAAAATGTTCAACATTAATTTAGATCATAACATGTATCATTTTCCCTATGCGAAGCTCCTAATAGAAAGTATTGACATTCTACTGCAGCAGTGGGGCTATAGGCTTATTATCACGATGGCCGGTATAGGTTGTCAGCATTAAAAAAAATGCAATGTCACATTTAAACGCATTACCGCCTAAGTCACAATTTACCATTAAAAAGATATTTTCACAACTCGCCGGGGTGTTGTAAATTTTGATAATCCAACTCGACGCTATTATAATTTGCAGAGGCGGCGGGTGCGGAGATGGCTAAAAGCACATTCTTAAAGGGCGTCTGAATTATTTCGTTGGGAATGAACAAACTTACAGATGCAGCCAACGTTACTAAGATTCGAGTGTTTGAAAGCTAAAATATATAAAGTAGTCATTCTATTTTATTTAAAAAAGGTGGCAAACAAACTTGTGTTCCTCCTGACAGTAAGTGGCTGCCATAGCGTCTATAAGATATGGCAGTGATTTTTGAGTTACTAGAGAAAATTAGAAATCATATTAAAAAAAAAATAGTTATGAACAGTTAATGAACTACACCCCTATACAAAATATTGATTTATAACGTTTACAAAATATCCTATAAAAGATGCTAATTTCTATTAAATTACGAACTTAAATCCTTTAAGTAAATTTATTTGAACCAATTCCTGAGTAATAAAATTGTTATGGTTCCATAATTGCACAGTTGAGTTGAGGTGGAGACACTTATCGAAAAAAAAAACAGGTAGATCAATAGAGACACAACACTACCAAGAAGTGTTATTTTACTGTGATCTTCTGCAAGATGTAGGTTACCCCAGATGGGTGTCCGAATTCGGCGGAAAATCCGCTATCCCTACTTCTCTACAAATTAGACCTCTCGCTCTCATTGAACATACATAACAGAAACCATAAAATCCTTAAACAATATTATACTTATATTTTCTCCAATCATAAATTGTAATGAAATATCTAAGCTTCGTAGACAGAAATACAATAAGTTACCATGCATAAAGGACTAATCACCGGCGGCCTACTCTCCTACTCAACAGCAACACCTAGGGACCATTTAGATAATTGCAGGGTAGTCGGAACTTTGTTGGTCTGGCTTTGTAGTAGTACGGCCCTAGTTCGCGCTCTTTGAAGTACATAATGGCGGCTCGCATTACGAACGCATTGTCCGTTGGTGGTTACGGGATACGGTTTGATGATCCTCGTGATTTGATGCAGTTCGCGTACGCCTCGTGTTCATTAAAATAATGATCGCAGTCGCTCCATAAAAGTAGTGTGACACCACACGCCTTTGATAGTTTTCAGTTCAGCGACGCTTTTGTTACTGTTTCCATTTTTAAACTGAAACGCAACTGAGTGAAAAAACAG